AATGACACTTAGCAAAATAGTAAATAATAAATGTTAGGTATTAGGAGGGCAACTGATAGCTGAAAATCTAATTTCAAATTAAATACACAGTGAAAACAAGAAAACCAGAACCCCAGGTAAACTACATTTGGGAACAAAGAAGAGAAAACATAAAAAAATGAAAAGTGATAAGTGGACCAAAGGGAAAATAGGGAATTACAGAGTAGAAGCCAAAGAATGTTTTTTGAGGAAGAAAGTCAATAGCAGAAAATGCTGGTTAGGTAGATATGGTCTATAAAAAGGCCAAAGGAGCCCGGCCCGGCGTGGATCAGCGGCTGAGCATCGACCTAGGATCCCGGTGATCGGGATTCGATTCCCGGTCAGGGCACATGCCCAGGTTGCGGGATCGGTCCCCAGTTGAGGGCATGCAGGAGGCAGCCGACCGGTGACTCTCTCATCATTGATGGTTCTCTCTCTCTCTCCCCCTCTCCTTTCCTCTCTTTGAAATCAATAAAGATATGTTAAAAAAAAAAAATACTTAAAAAAAAAAGCGGCCAAGGGATTTGGCAATTTGAAGGTCAACCATCAATAGAAGAAAAACAGCATTCTACAAAGTGCTTACATGTGCATTAAGGAATGAGTAGAACAAAAACACAAACTATAAAGCAGGGTTAAGGGATAAACAGAGAAAAAATTCTACGTTAGTAGTCCCCAAGCAATTTTCAACCTCCTTCATTTCATGGCACACGTAATTACTAAAATTCTGTAACATACCAAAAAATATTTTGCCAATTTGGCCCCCCCAAAAAGATGTAATTTTGTNCGTTTGTCTCCGTCTATGGGTTTTTTGGATCTGCCACATGACTGTGAGTTCCACAAGAAGGGTCAGTTTCAGAGTCACAGCTGTGTGTTCCCGAACTAGCAGGATACACAGTGGGCACACACATGCTTATTAATGAAGGTATTAAGAAGGTCCTCAGACTAAAAAATATTTAACAGCAAAACAACTCCTCCTGTTGTCCCTGGTCCCTGAGTCTGTCGGTCTCCTTAACTGGTCCCCATAACCTCCTCCATATGTCTTTGATTAGTCCCTTCATTGAAATCAATTCAAAATCTTAGCTGAATACTTTGTTTCCTGCCTGGACCCTGACTGATAAGTTTATGAACACAAATAGAAATAGCAGACTAATGGTCTCTTAAGACTCGTAAGTTAACTGTTGATGTTTTACCCTTTCAAACATCCTGTTTTCTAGTAATTTTTACAGTACAAAAAAAATTTTTATTGACTTGTAGAGAGGGAGGATAGGAGAGGGAGAAAGAGAGAGAGAGAGATCAATGTGAGAGAGAAACATCGATTGATTGGCTGCCTCCAGCATGTGGCCCCATTGGGACACGGGATCAAACCTGCAACCCAGGTATGTGCCCTTGATCAAGAATCGAAGCCTTGACCTTTCCGTTCCTAGGCTGATGCTCTAAAAACAGCACACGGCCAGGGCAAAATAGGCATAATTTTGATTCACTCACACCAAATGGCTACTGTGGTGGCTACTGTATTTTTATTTTATTTTTTTTGACTATCTAAGGGAAAAGAGGTCAATGCCCCTGACTAAATAGTCAGTTATTACGTGTTTTAAAAATTCTTACATCACACTAGCTGAAAATCGCCGCCCTAGACTTTTGGTTTTCAAGGCTTTCAAAAAGAAACAGGGAGAATGACATAAGGTTGTGGATTCTTAATCCTACCAAATAAAATATTTTTTACTCTATTGTACCCATGATTTGAAACAGAAAACTGCATAACAGCATTTCATAGTAGACTCATAAAAATCTTGTAATAGAAAAGGCACCTGAATTTGTAAATCATCATTCTTGACTACGCTCAGAAAATGCTGACAATAAAAGGAAACAGTGCAGAGGAAACAAAGTTCTCTCCCCTTAAAAATGAAGAAATCAAGTTACATGTGAGCAAAATATCTCCTGTAAGGTGAGATTGTTAGGTAGAGATATCTATCGTGTTAAGACAAATCTGTATGCCAGAGTGTGCAAACACAAATTAGAATTTTTATTTGCTGGAGAATTACTAGTTTTAGAATACAAATTCCTGGATTATATTTTCTATATATCTATGTCATGTTTTTATAGCTGGCAAACAAGCATTTTATATGCTTAAGTGAACTTTTTATTACATATCAACTACAGAAAAAAATATAAGGACATGTTTGCAATATACATGAACTAGACACATCATGGGGGCTCAAAATAACTTTGTTGAAATGTACTGAAGTGGAATATGCCACATAATGGTAGACAAAGAATTACACAACAGATTCCATTTCTATGAAAAATGTTAAGTTGACCATATAACACAGTGATTACAAGAGTGGTAATAAGAACACAGGCTTTGAATTCAGACAAACCTGGATTCAAGTGTCAACTATAATACTTTATAGCTGGGTGACCTTGGCAAAGTTATTTAACCTAAATTTGTCTCATCTGTAAAATAGGAATGGTACCTACATAAGGTTGTAATGCTGATCAAATGGCAGTTATAATTTTTATATAACATGAATTGCCAAAATCCTACAAAGTCCATTTTTTCCAAGTCCTAGATCAAGTCTCTGGAGGATGCGGCAGAGGCCTACATATTTTTTTAAAGTTTTACAAGTGATTCTAACCAGCATTCTTGTTCAGGAATCACTGCCTTAGAGCCCTACTAACAAATACTTCAGTCCAAGGTAAGGAACCCATACAAAGATAAAAAGAGCTTTAAGACACGATCCTTTGGTTAGTTTCAAGTTTCTAAAACAGATCTTTACCCCAAATTCTTTTTAGAAAGAAAAAAACCATACTGCAAAGTTCTAATTTAAAATCTTTTCCAAAGCCAGGGAGACCACGATTCCATACTGAAATTTTACATCAAAATTAGGAGTATCCTAGCCTTTTTATATTCATTATTGAACAGTTTCATATGTATAAATGAACAGTGCACTGTATACAATATGTAAGCTGTCTTATTTATCTTTATTAAAAAATAAGTTTACAGTTTAAATCCACTGATGCGTCACTTAAACCCTCCAAATAAATTATTCAACACATAGATTTTAAAATGTGCATAAGCAATCTTACTAAAGAATGAATGCATTTAAAGCAAATTCAACATTGCAGAAGCAAACCTGAAACCTTATTAACTAACCCAATAAAACATTTTAGAGAACTATATAGAATAAAAGTATATAAACACAATCACGAGCATTTTATTCCAAGAAAATCAGTATAAAATAATGAAAATCCCTGGAAAAAATTAAGAGTCTAGAAACACTGTAGAACTTTTTCAAAATAAGCAAGTAAAAGGGGAAAAAAAGCACAGCGCTTTAACTGGCTATATCAAAGCTAATGTCAATAGTAGATCAACTGAAAGCAAACAAGCAAGTAAAAGGAATCTTCTTTTAAAGACTTTTCTATTACTGTCAAGGAGAGGAGCACCAGATGAGAAAGCAAGGACTAAAGCAGGCAATATAGACCTCATTGATATACAGATTTTACTAATTTAGACAAAAGACATGTTCTCAGCTACTAACATGACTGAAGCTTATGAATGACTAATGCAATTGCTAAGTTGAAAAGTGGTAGAATTCAAGCTTTTGTGCAACAGTACAAAATTCAAAAACACTATTTCGGACTGGTGAATTATCAGTGAGTAAGCCCAAGCCTCAATGCATCTGCAAATCCAATTTTTAAAAATAAATGCCTTACTATCTTCACTCACACATAATTTTAAGTTTGCAACATAGTGTGGTAGAAAGTTGTGTATCAACAGAACTCTATAAATCCCAGGTATTTTAAAGCAGACTATACATACACAAGTTAAAAGAAACAATAGGCAATTTTGACTTAAGCTTTTTGAAAGTTCTATTTTTAAAAGTCGAATAATATATCAAAGCACAATTCTAAAACATTGAATTGACTAACAGGTGTGAATTTAAAATTAATTTTCTCAAAACTTGATAAGTGTCAAAATATATAACTACTCTTACTTTTTAAAAGTTTAACTTTACCCACTTTGTATAATCAAATAAAAGTTTACTAGTATAAAATCAAACTGAATATATGTATATAAATCTCTATATATTTCTTTGAGGGCACCCTTTCTAAGTTAATCCAAAATTCCTTCTTTAAACATATTTTCCTAACTATTCACCATAGGCATAAATGATATATATGTCAGTGAACAATACTGCTGACATTCTATATATATATATCAATCTTAAGAACAGGTGCAACATTAGATGCATGCTTTTTTCTTCTAAGCCTAAATTTGACCTGGAAATGATTTAAAAATGAACACAAATACCCCCAAATGTTGAACAAAACTTTTAATAAGATATAGCCATTCTGAAATCCAAGACATGAGCCCTTAAACTATGAACATCTTCCAAAAGTTCGGTAAATCAGCCGATCAAAGTTTCACCTTAAGAGGATCGAGTCAGGCTTAATTATGAAGGGTCCTGAGGATATTTAAATTTGCTTCACCTCTGAGACAAGAACATTTTACTTCCAGCTAATTTTTTTTCAGTTGTTTCACAAAGAGAACACAGATAGTCTGGTTTGGTTTTTATGGGTAAAGAAAGGGGCGGAGGAGGGGGAGGCCTGGTGCAGGGTACCCTAAAAACAATCCAGTAAGGCATGCCTCGTCTTATTGCGCTTCACTTGACTGCGCTTCGGAGATGTGCGGTTTTTTTGCAAATTGAAAGCAAGACCCTCCAGGAGCAAAAATATTGCCACTCGCTTCATAGCGGTGGTCTGGAACCGAACCCGCAGTATCTCCAAGGTGTGCATGTACGGAAAAGGCTTTGATGAGTCAGTCCCTAAACTAAGGAAAAACTGAAGGAGAATCTAGGTGCATAAGGCAGCATCCCAGGTAAGAAGGTACTTAAAGTTGGCGGTAGGAAATGAAAGCTTCACAGGTCAGCGACAAGCCATCGTGCTTGGTAGCATCCCTGGAAAGAAGCGCGGTTGTCAAGGGGCAAGTGCGTACCAACTCCAGGGGAGGGGGCCAGACGTGCCAAATCGGAAAGGGGGGTGACCCGGGAAAAGGTGGTAAAATACCCATCCCAGTCCCTCTACTCGGGTTCTCCAAGAGGCACAAACAAGAGCGAGCTCAGTGTTCAGCAGCCGCACGCCGGCCTCTCCCACAGAGAGGAGTTCAGCCCCAAGTCCGGGAGGCCCGGGCAGGCCGCCTCCAGAGGAGCCCCCGCAGACGCCATACTAAAAGCCAAAATGGCTGCCCCAAGGAAGCCCGCACCGAGCAGCTAGTGAGGATTGGGGAAACAAGCTTCTGCGGGAAAGGGGGAGGAGGGCTCTAGGAAGAACCGTGGCCAGGACCAACGCCGCCCCGAGCCGCACAGGTAGGTTCCTCTTGTCTTAGCAAGGCAGCGGGCTCCCACAGAGGGAAGTCCGGTCCCCACCCCCCACCGGGAACCCCGCCGCCGCAGCTGTCCCGCACACCCATCCCAGCGAGGTACCTGCAGTTCGGCCCGCTCCACCTCCCAGTGCGCCCGCTCCATCTCGAACCGAGCCCACTCGTGCTGGATGTAGTGCAGGATCCCCGGGATAGTGTACTGTTGCGGCCGGGACAGCTCGGGGCCTGCCGGGGGAACCGCTCCCTCCGCCGCAGGAGGACCCGNCCTGCCGCTCCGTTTCCCCCTGGTGAAAGGCTCATGTTCCCCCCAGGTCCCTGTTGCTGCCGTGGAGGGGCCCCCATCCCCGGGCCGCCACCACCGCCTCCGGCGAGCTCGTCCATTGTGTGTGGGGCCCCGGCCAGGGCGCTGGGCGAGACGCGGACAGCTGGGGGAAGGGCCGGGGAGGGTAGCCCCGCGCTGGCGGCCGGGCGGAGGCCGGCTGGGAGTGGGGC